TGCAGTCCCCGCACAGACACTGTGACCGCAGGGGACCAGCGCCCATCAGCTCTCGATCCATGCAGACGACGCACGGCTGCCCGCGCTCTCCGACGGCATCATCGTATCGCTGCTGAAGCTTCTTCCGCAGCTCGCTGAAGCTCAGCCGCTCCTTGATCTTCTCCCGCCAGCACTCTCGCATGATCGCATACACTGCTGGAGGGCATGCAGCAGGAGCCGCTAGTCGCTCCCCGTCCACAACCTTGGGTCCTACAAGCTCATCGTCGGTGATGGCCCAGTAAGGGACTTTGCCGTAAGTCCAGACCTCCCACAGCGTCACCCCGAACGCCCACACGTCGCTCTTCTCCGAGTAGCGATGTCTCAGCAAGCTCTCCGGCGCCATCCATCGCGCCCGTCCAGCCCTCGAGCCTGCCGAGCTCTCGCTCCCTACCCGACTCACTCCGTCACCGCGCGAGCCCATGATCCATCGCCCGTAGTCGGCTACCTTGACCCTCACTCCGAGGTGATCCTGCCCTTGCAGACTCCAGACAAGCACGCTCCTCGCCGCCAGCTCCCGGTGTACAACCCCGTGCAGCGACAGCTGCTCCATCCCGTCGCAGATCTGCCTCGCCACCTCCAGCTGCACCAGCTCGCCCACCGTCTCCTCCTCCTCCGCGAAGCTGCGCAAGGTCCTCTCGAGAGAGCCCTGGCAAGCGTACTCAGTCACCAGGCAGTAGTCGCCAGAGCTTGGCTCGACGGTGACGGCGAGGAGGCCAAGCAGGCTGCGGTGACGGCCCAGCTGGTGCCAGGTCTTGACCTCCTGCTCGAGAGCTTGTCTGCTGGCAGTGTCTCCGCTGCCTCGGATACGTAGGATGGCCACGTCAGCGGTGCTGGCGTGCGGCTGCAGCCAGCGAGCCTTGTAGACGAGCTTGGAGGAGCCTGAGCCGACCTGACGACTGTCGACCAGGCTGTCGTAGTCCACCGATGGCACGCTGCCCAGCTGGAGACGAGAGGATCACATCAGTCATCGACCCTCATACAGACACAAACAGGACCTGAGCAACAGCGCCCTGCTGGTTGTCGACGTCAGACGCCTGCTGCTCCGCGTCTCTCTGCTGGCGCTGGTGCTTGCGCTTACGCTTCTTCGTCTTGTCGCTTCTACACCTCTCATGTCGCTCGATCCCCTCCTGCGCGGGCTTGACGCTGCCTTGCAGTGCCGCTGACAGAAGCTCCCCGCTCCATAGCCGCCGCATCCAGCCCTCTATCTTGCTCGCCAGCTCCTCGTCCTGCCTCTCTCGCGCTGCCTCCGCAGCTGTTCGTCCCAGCGAGTCTCGCAGCTCCCCGAGCTCTCCGCCCCCGACCTCCAGCAGCCTCTCACAGACAGACCAGACGCCTCGCGCCGCCGCCACGTGCAGCGCCGAGCCATCGGACTCCGTGACACACTTGATAGACATGCAGGTCACGAATCACTATGACCTTGTAGACACTATGAGCTCGTTCACCTAAATCAAGACAAGCATTCTGCGTCATGCTTCCAAGGTCCCACACCCTCAAGGTACTCATCCCACTCCCGCTGACAGCCGTCTTGCCGTCCTCGCTTATCGCCACGCTCGTCACCCAACCACTATGACCCTCAAGACAAGCCTTCTGCGTCATGCTCACAAGGTCCCACACCCTCATCGTCTCATCGTTACTCCCGCTGACAGCCGTCTTGCCGTCCCCGCTGATCGCCACGATCCCTACCGCTTTACTATGACCCTGAAGACAAGCCTTCTGCGTCATGCTCACAAGGTCCCACACCTTCAAGGAGCTTGTGCAGCCGCTGACAGCCGTCTTGCCGTCCTCGCTGATCGCCACGCTCCATGCCCACTCACTGTTATCTTCAAGACAAGCCTTCTTCGTCATGCTCACAAGGTCCCACACACTCAAGGTTCTAAACCAGCTCCCGCTGACAGCCGTCTTGCCGTCCCCGCTGATCGCCACGCTGTTGATCGGACCACCATCACCCTGAAGACAAGCCTTCTGCGTCATGCTTCCAAGGTCCCACACCCTCAACGTTTCATCGTAGCTTCCGCTGACAGCCGTCTTGCCGTCCTCGCTGATCGCCACGCTCCATGGCGTACTCCTATGACCCTCAAGACAAGCCTTCTGCGTCACTCGCTCCCAAGGTCCCATACCCTCAGCGTCTCATCCCAGCTCCCGCTGACGGCCGTCTTGCCGTCCCTGCTGATCACCACGCTCGTCACCCAGCGATTATGACCCTCAAGACAAGCCTTCTGCGTCATGCTCTCAAGGTCCCACACCCTCAGCGTCTTGTCGTCACTCCCGCTGACTATGGTCGTGACTCTCGCTGGTCCTACTGGATGCTTCTGCTTCAGTCGCTCTGCTCCTGCACTCACGGCCAGCGCTCTCACTTGGACCTCATCTCCTCTCTCGATCGCTTCGATCAGCTGCTGCCGCTTCCTCTCGTCCTCCTCCATCCTCTCCCGCTCGTCGTCGGAGACCAGGCTCATCCTCCTCCTCGCTCGTCCTGCAGCCCCAGCACA